TAAGAATAGTACAGCTTAACACACCACTCCTATCTGGTGGCACATTAGATTGCACGCGCAGTGCCCCAAATTTGAAGTAGGAGGACCGACCAAGCATCTTTTTCCATCTCCCGGTTCCTAAAATCGATGCCATATACACGTCCCCTATCGTAACAGGGATTAAACTGATAGGAATAATACTACTTAACACACCTTATAATAATGCAGAGAGAGGCAACGCAGAGAGAGGAGTCTGAAGAAGAGTCAGAGGAGGAAGGTGGCTTTGAGGAGGTGGAAGACCAAACACAGCAGGCGTCCCAGGGGGCTTGTTGTCACCTTTCGGGGACCCTTGGTGTTGTACGTGGCTGGGTGGAGGAAGAGACCTTCAATGACATCAGTGAGGACAAGGAACGGGACATGGCTAACTTGGTATCCAACCTTGTGCAAATGGGGAGTTTGCGGTTGTGCAAATGGACTGTTTGCGGTTGTTTGCGGTGCGTTAAACGGGGAGTTTGGTCTGTCACTGTGAAGCGAGCGTAACCCTTACACTACCTGATCGATACAACATCATACAGTAGGTCCCCCCCCTCATTATTTTTATGGCCCCCACCCACCGTGCAGGGGTGGGGGCCGGGGGGGAGGACAGTAGGTCCCCCCTTATCCTTATTTACTGAATATTCCCCTGTATAACAATGTTTGGCATTTAGTGAATATTCCCTATTCTGCTCTGTGTCAGTGTGTATCAGGGATCCGGAGGATAGGTGTCAATGGCATTTTGTGAATATTCCCTATTCTGCTCTGTGTCAGTGTGTATCAGGGATCCGGAGGATAGGTGTCAATCCATACCTGCCAAGTGACACTATGTAGGGGGAACAGTCCCTATTCTGCTCTGTGTTAGTGTGTATCAGGGATCCTGAGGAAAGGTGTCAATCCATATCTGCCAAGTGACCCTATGTAGGGGCAACAGTCCCTATTCTGCTCTGTCAGTGTGTATCAGGGATCCTGGGGATAGGTGTCAATCCATATCTGCCAAGTGACCCTATGTAGGGGCAACAGTCCCTATTCTGCTCTGTCAGTGTGTATCAGGGATCCTGAGGATAGGTGTCAATCCATACCTGCCAAGTGACCCTATGTAGGGGGAACAGTCCCTATTCTGCTCTGTGTCAGTGTGTATCAGGGGCTCTGAGGACAGGTGTCAATCCATATGTCAAGGTGTCAATGTCATGTCAGGTGTCAATCCATATCCATTGTGATTTAGGAATGTTAGGTGATTTATGCCCTTTATGGATTAAAACCAGACTCTGCATCAACTGTGTAATTTTCCATGGGAGTTTTGCCATGGATCCCCCTCTGGCATGTCATAGTCCAGTTGTTAGTCCCCTTGAAACAACTTTTCCATCACTATTGTGGTCAGAAAGAGTCCCTGTGTGTTTTAAAATTCGCCTGCCCATTGAAGTTTATGGCGGTTCGCCCAGTTCGCGAACATTTGCGGAAGTTCGCGAACCGAAAATTTTGTGTTCGCGACATCACTATTAGACACAGATACACACATTCACTCCGATATATACACACACACACACACACACACACACACAGATATACACTGACACACACTAGTACATATACACACAAGGCATTATATTTTGATCTGCATCCACCCTTAGCTAATCTTGTGTCCTGGCTGAAGCTGATGGGATTGAGCATGTAGCTGCTCACTCTAGCCTTTTCTTTGCCTCCATGCTGCCTGTGTGCTCCAGCCTCCTCCTGTTGCAGATGGACCTCATGCACGGTCCATCTTCTTAGCTGGGAGGAAGTGACAGGCTGTCTATTACTTCCTCCCAGCTGGCAGATACTTCAGAAATAATATTCATCCAGTGGATAACCTTAATATATGCCAAATGCCTTAATTTATTGAAGGCACTAAGCAAATATAATAGCCTGGAAATCACACACACAATCTGATATATACAGTGAGGGAAAAGGGTATTTGATCCCCTGCTGATTTTTAACATTTGTCAACCGACATAAAAATGATCAGGATTTAATTTTAATGGTGTAATTTAACATTGAGAGACAGAATAACAAAAATCCAGAAAAACACATGTAAAACAGTTATAAATTGATTTGCATGTCAATGAGTGAAAAAAGTATTTGATCCCCTATCAATCAGCAAGATTTCTGGCTCCCAGGTGTCCTTTATATAGGTAACGAGCTGAGATTAGGAGCACTCTCTTAAAGGGAGTGCTCCTAATCTCAGCTCGTTACCTGTATAACAGACACCTGCCACAGAAGCAATCAATCAATCAGATTCCAAACGTTTCACCATGGCCAAGACCAAAGAGCTGTCCAAGGATGTCAGGGACAAGATTGTAGACCTACATACGGCTGGAATGGGGTACAAGACTATCACCAAGCAGCTTGGTTAGAAGGTGACAACAGTTGGTACAATTATTCGACTGAGGAAGAAACACAAAATAACTCGGTCTCTCTCGGTCTTGTGCTCCATGCAATAGCTCACCTTGTGGAGTTTAAATGATCATGAGCATGGGGAGGAATCACCCCAGCACTACGATCTTGTTAATTATCTCAAGGCAGCTGGGACCATAGTCACCAAGAAAACAGTTGATTATACACTAAACTGTGAAGGACTAAAATCCTGCAGCGCACGCAATGACCGCCTGCTCAAGAAAGCACATTTATAGACCCGTCTGAAGTTTGCCAATGAACATCTGAATGATGCAGAGGAGAACTGGGTAAAAGTGTTGTGGTCAGATGAGACCAAATCGAGCTCTTTGGCATCAACTCAATTTGCCGTGTTTGGAGCAGGAGGAATACTGCCAATGACCCCAAGAACACCTCACCACCGTCAAACATGGAGGTGGAAACATTATGCTTTGTGGGTGTTTTTCTGCTAAGGGGACAGGATAACTGCATCACATCAAAGAGACAATGGACGGGGCCATGTAGTGTCAAATCTTGGGTGAGAACCTCCTTCCCTCAGCCAGGGAATGGGTCATGGATGGGTATTCCAGCATGACAATGACCCAAAACACACAGCCTGTACAACAAAGGAGTGGCTTATGAAGAAGCACATTAATGTCCTGTAGTAACCTAGCCAGTCTCCAGACCTTAATTCCATAGAAAATCTGTGGAGGGAGCTGAAGGTTCGAGTTGCCAAATGTCAGCCTTGAAACCCTAATGACTTGGAAAGGATCTGCAAAGAGGAGTGGGACAAAATCCCTCCTGAGATGTGTGCAAACCTAGTGGCCAAGAAACGTCTGCCAAATGTCTCTCACTGATAAATTATATCTACCATTAAAATTTTAGACTAATTTCTTTATCAGTGGGCAAATGTTCAAAATCAGCAGGGGATCAAATATTTTTTTTTTCTCTCACTGTATAAAGGCCTGGGTACAATGAGGAAAGTGGCCTTGGGGCAGCAGAGAGGGAAATCAGGCCCTGGGCACCTATAGTGGATGGGTCTAGTGCTCAACCCAATAACAATCTGGTCTAGATTCCAAATGTACATAGGGGAATTGGGGGGACAACCCGAACATGCAAATCTCTGTAGTTGTGCTGCCGTAAAGACACAAATATATACAAAATACAGATTAAGGAACAGCATGCAGTATAACTGAATCCCCATATTTGTTTGCTAAGCTAGGTGATTTTAACTAGCCTTGTAAAATTTGAAACTCTATTTGTGTGTGCACTGTTCTTTAATCTGTATTTTGTATGTACTTTAGTCTTTACAGCAGCACCACTACTGAGAAATGCATGTTACAGGTTTTCCCCAAATTCCTTTTTCTACAATTCTGATCACTGGCGCTGGATATGGAAAGTGTTCAAAGTTGAAAACATTGTACACAGAGTGCCACTGTATGCAGAGTGATTGTATCTTTGTGTGCCTATCTACAAATAAAGAATAAAAAAAACAATTGCATAAATATTTTAATTGGAGCATGAACCAACAGCATGAACCAACAATTACTGATTAAATCTGGGTCTAAAACGGCAAGCAACACAACTTTTTAGATAATATTTGGCTCAGTTTCCAAGAGAAAATCTTGCATCTGGTTATTTGTTTTTATTAAAAATCTTGAAATTAATCCAAATACATTTGACAAATCACAACTATTTCATGAGACTATTTCCGTTAATTTGGGTTGATTTAGCAGTACATTTTTGAGGTTAGGTATTGTACAGAAAGAAAAATAAAACACTTTTTTTTTCAAATTAAAAAAAAAAATCTGCTTGAGAAATCTCAAAACTACAGTGTTTTACTGACATGGCTGGATTTTACAGATAATTATAAAGATTTGACAATAATAAATTAATTTTAATGTTGCTGCTAATCCGTCTTAACCAAGAACATAAAAACGCCAGATTTCCCATTAAAAAAAAAAACCAAAAAAAACTTGTGTGCCATTCTGAACTTGACTCCGAATATAGAAATTCATATGCCAAAGTGGAGAGATAATACCAAGTGATGAACACCAAAATACTGAAATTATACCTTCTTTTTATATGTAATTCACAATAATTCTTTATAGGAATTTCCTAAAACATAAACAGAAAGATCCAAACATAGTGCAAATCTGTAATGTTTAAAGGTGTGGTAGAAATATACAAAGGTCCCACTCACACTTTTAGGAGCTAAAGAGGTATAGCTCAATTGAAGCACTTTCAGAGTCCGTAAAGGCGACCCTTATCCCTTCTTTTAACTCTTCCTTTCTTGTATTCTGAAATGTATAAAGGAAAATACCTCTGGTGCAGTAACGTAGACTAGGTATATGCAAGTAGTAAGGGAAATAGGGTACTTACAAACCCAGAGCCATCCACATCGGCTCTGATCCAATAGTTTGTGTGGATTAAGGACCACACTCCTTCTTTTGTAATAGCAGGAGAATGCCAATAGTGTCTCTCAAAAATATAAGCTTTATTCACTATATATACAGTTAAGTACAATAAAAATATAAAAATATATATATATATAATAGTATACAGAAAACACTATAATGGCATAAAATGTCCAGTAATAGAAAGTCTTTAAGCTCACAATGTTTCCAGGACGCGTTTCGCCGTTTAGGCTTCCTCAGCTGGATGTGAAAAAAAGTCTGTACCTTCTTGCACTGGCTCCTGCTATATGTACCCCTCCTGGGGTGAAGATGCTTGTTTTTCGGCTTGAATTTTCGCGGGCTATCACCATGGGAATGGTGACGCCCTGCGTGTCAAGCCTCTTTCTCTCTTCATTTCCGGGTAGCACTATCGATACGTCACTTCCGTTTTTTTCGATCGCAAGCCGTCGCGTCATATCCGTGCGTTCCAGCTTGCGTTCCAAATGTGTTCCGGCTTGCGGGTTCAATTTTGCCGGCATCATCACAGATAAAGGGAAGAGGGAGAACAGAATATATTGTGTGTATTTATTCAATATTGAAAATCTTTACCAAAGTTCTTTTAGTTCTTTCTTTTCATCTATGTGTAGTTTCAATAAAGAAAGCGTGTTCCTATATACATATCGTTCTTTTATCATTTATACAGTAATGGCCCTATATAGGTTTAGAAATAAAACCAGGAAACAATATAAGAATATACAAATATTATATAAAAAAACAATATAAGATTCCCTTTCACTAAACATAGAATATACCCAGACACTTCTAAAAGAAAGGTAGAGCCATACCATATACATTTCTATATTTCAATAATGGTGGCATAAAATTGATATCAAAAAACATAAAAAGAATAAGAGATCCTCTAGTTAAAAAAATATTTTTTAGGGGTTTGAAAGTTAGACAATATAAAAAACACTAAGTACCCAAAATATCTATTGCAGGAAATGGCACATTTCGAAGTCTGCATTTAGTCCATTAGGGATCAAAGTGTCTAGTTTGAAAATACACTCCATTTCACATTTACTCATTTTTACATCGAAATTGCCTCCTCTCCAATCTTTTTCCACTTTTTTGATCCCTAAAAAGGTGGTATCTTTAGTTTCACAGTTATGGTAGTTTTTGTAATGTAAAGATACGCTATGTTTTTCGAAACCCTTTGTAATATTTCGTCCATGCTCTTCTATTCTCGTATGTAGTTGTCTTGTGGTTTTCCCTATATATTTTAGACCACAAGGGCATATTATTAGATAAATAAGATTCTTTGAGTAGCATGTAATGAAATCTTTAATTTGGTATTCTGTTCCCTCTTTATTTGTATATGTAGTTATATGTCTTTTTTTGTTGGTAGTTCTCCTACATGCCAAACATTGGCCACAGCCGTAAAAACCTTTCTCTGTGTTAAATGGGTTGCCATTCTTTTTTTCTTTAATATAACTAGACGTGAGAGCAGTACGGAGGTTGCTTACCCCCCTATGTACAAAATTGGGTTTGTCTGGAAGGAAAGTTCTCGCTACTGGATCCTGAAGAAGAATAGGCCAAAATTTCGAAACTATTTTCCTCACCTTATGATTTTCCGTGCTATAGTTACATATAAAAGGGACTTCTTTAAAACCTTTCTCTTTCTTTTCTTTATATTTTAAAAGACTGTTTCTCTCTATTTCTTTAACTTCTTTTCTAGCTTTTTCCAATTCCTGTTCATCATATCCTTTCTCTATAAAATCTTGTTTAATTTTATCTGATTGCGTATCGAACATCTCAAGATCAGTACAATTACGATGTATTCTGAGGAATTGCCCTCTAGGGGCATTCTCCAACCAAGGAGAGAAGTGGCAACTTTCTCTTTCGATATAACTGTTGGCCTCAACCGGTTTAAAATAATTTTTCGTTTTAATCCTATTTTCTTCTATATATATTAATAGGTCTAGAAAAACTACTTCCACTTTACTCCAATTGCTGGTAAGTTTAATCCCCCATGTATTGGTGTTGAGGTGATTTAGGAATAGGATAAGATCTTCCTCCTCTCCCTCCCAAATGAAGAAAATATCATCGATATAGCGGCCATAGGTAACCAAGTTCCTCCCCCAGCTATGAGGGCCATAAATATAAGTATCTTCCCAATAGGCCATAAATAAATTGGCGTAGTTGGGGGCGAACTTGGTCCCCATGGCTGTCCCATTAATTTGGAGGTAGAACTCTTCATTGTACCAGAAATAATTGTTTCTGAGGATTAATTCTATCGCTTCTAAGAGGTACTCAACCTTCATGTAAGGCATTTTAGAAAAATTATTTAAAAAGAATTTAGCTGCATTGCATCCATAATCATGTGGAATATTACTATATAGGGCTGACACGTCACTAGTGACTAAAAAACAGTTTGGGTTCCAAGCGCAATTTTTTAAAAGGTTTAAAACCATGATTGTGTCTTTAATGTAGGAGGTAGTGTTTTTAACTAAAGGTTGAAGGTGAATGTCCACGTAGTGGGATAGTTTGCTTGTTATGGAATCTATTCCCGCCACTATAGGTCTACCTGGGGGATTTTTGGTATCTTTATGGACTTTCGGAAGGAAATAGAATACAGGGGTTTTTGGATATTTTATATTTAGGAAATTAAATTCTTTTTCATTAAGTATTTTTGAATTTAAACCTTTGTTTAGAAAATTGGAGAACACTTGATTCATAATTGTTCCAGGGTTGTAATTAAGCTTCTTGTAAGTCTGTTCATCCATCAGGATTTTCTCAGCCTCTTTACAATAAAATTCTTTTGACATTAGAACAATCCCCCCCCCCTTATCCGCTGGTTTTATGACTATGCTAGTGTCTGTTTTTAGATCCCTAAGTGCTTTCTTTTCTTGTATGGAGAGATTGTAATTGAAGTTTTCCTTCTTATCTAATTTTTTAATTTCCGTCATTACCATGGTCTCAAACGTGACCATTTTTTCAGAGATCATTTGTTTCGGATAAAACTGCGATTTTTCTTTTAGTTGTGTATGTTTACTTTCTTCTTCTTGGTTGATTTGAAGTTCTATAGGATTTTTTGCAAAGAATTTTTTTAAACAGATATTTCTTTTAAATTTATTGAGATCTATATAAAAATCAAATTGGTTTAGGGGTTTATTAGGGGCAAATTTAAGGCCTTTCCTTAATACTTTTTTATGATATTCCGTTAGATTTTTTTGACTTAAATTATAAATTCCTTTCATTGATGTTATACTCTCTGTGTCCTTTCTCGTCTTTCTTTTTTGGCCATGTTTTCCTCCTCTTGTACCTCTATACTGGAATTTCTTTGTCTTTTGTAAGGAGTCATGGTATCTCGAATTTCTTCCCTTTTGTGTCTCTCCTTTCCTTTGCTCCTCCAAAAATCCTGATCTTCAAAATGATCTAACACTTGGAATCTGTTCCTTGTTTCTAATGGTTCATCTTTTTTATAATATGTGGATCTCTGTGGTGTGGGTCTATCTTTCATATCAGTTCTATAATTATTTCTTTCTAATCTTTCCTCTTTTTCATGGTAGATAGGTTTATGTGCGGTGTAAGCTTTTCTATAGTTTGTTCTTTCTTTAGATCTATCCTTTACATACATCGGTCTCCTTTCATATCTTTCCCTCTCCCAATTATTCCTAGATCTCTCCCTATTTTGTGGGAATGTTACCCTAGATTTGAAGTTATCCCAATTTCTTTGGGGACGTTGTTCATAATTATTTCTATACCTGTAATTGTAAGGTTTATGGTTATTGTATCTTGGATATACGTTATCTCTTGAATCGTCTCTCTTTCTATATGGGGATTTTCTCGAATTTAAACTTTCTTTTGGATACTCTTTATTTTCCCGATCGTTTTCTTGATGTTTATATCTTGAGAATGTTCTAACCTGTTTGCTTTTGTAGTCCTTAATATCTCTTAGGTATTTACTTTTCTTTACCTCTATCACCTCTTTTTCTAATTTATCCAGATTTTCATTTATCTCTTGGGTAGTGTAGTCAAATTCTTCTTGATTTAGTGTATTCAAAATTTCATTTTGACTTTTATTTATCTCTAGATCTAATACTTTTAGATTCTCTTTCCTTCTTTTTATTATGAGGTTTATGGTTGTTATGGAGAAATTTTCAAACATGGAATTCCACTCTTCCATAAAATCCACTGCCTCTTTATCAAACGTTGGTGTTTTGAAATATCTTAAACCTCTTGGGGTTATTCCTTCTTTCAGATATTTTTCTAATGTGGCTATCTCCCATTTTATTTTGAGTTCTTTTTGAAGCAATTTCTCCAATTTTTCCCCTCCACTATTCTGTTCTATTCTTTTTTTATTATTAGATTGTAAATCTGTCCAATTTGCTATTTCTGTTTCCATATTAGTGAAAGAACTGCTTCTTTTATCGAATAATGACATATTTTTACCTTTAAGCTGCTGAGTACAAATAGTATAAAGATAAGACAAATACTAAAAAATAGAATCTGAAAAAAAGGTAAAAGTACCAGCGCTAATATTTCAATACAAAGTGATACAATTATATCAGGAATACTATTGATCTCTAGCTGCTATAACACCCCAAACTTATCTTTCAAAATTGTAGTACAAACCGGTGTATGGGTGAAGCGCTATATTTAAATAAATAGGCCAAAGTGGAGAGATAATACCAAGTGATGAACACCAAAATACTGAAATTATACCTTCTTTTTATATGTAATTCACAATAATTCTTTATAGGAATTTCCTAAAACATAAACAGAAAGATCCAAACATAGTGCAAATCTGTAATGTTTAAAGGTGTGGTAGAAATATACAAAGGTCCCACTCACACTTTTAGATGCTAAAGAGGTATAGCTCAATTGAAGCACTTTCAGAGTCCGTAAAGGCGACCCTTATCCCTTCTTTTAACTCTTCCTTTCTTGTATTCTGAAATGTATAAAGGAAAATACCTCTGGTGCAGTAACGTAGACTAGGTATATGCAAGTAGTAAGGGAAATAGGGTACTTACAAACCCAGAGCCATCCACATCGGCTCTGATCCAATAGTTTGTGTGGATTAAGGACCACACTCCTTCTTTTGTAATAGCAGGAGAATGCCAATAGTGTCTCTCAAAAATATAAGCTTTATTCACTATATATACAGTTAAGTACAATAAAAATATAAAAAATATATATATATAAAAGTATACAGAAAACACTATAATGGCATAAAATGTCCAGTAATAGAAAGTCTTTAAGCTCACAATGTTTCCAGGACGCGTTTCGCCGTTTAGGCTTCCTCAGCTGGATGTGAAAAAAGTCTGTACCTTCTTGCACTGGCTCCTGCTATATGTACCCCTCCTGGGGTGAAGATGCTTGTTTTTCGGCTTGAATTTTCGCGGGCTATCACCATGGGAATGGTGACGCCCTGCGTGTCAAGCCTCTTTCTCTCTTCATTTCCGGGTAGCACTATCGATACGTCACTTCCGTTTTTTTCGATCGCAAGCCGTCGCGTCATATCCGTGCGTTCCAGCTTGCGTTCCAAATGTGTTCCGGCTTGCGGGTTCAATTTTGCCGGCATCATCACAGATAAAGGGAAGAGGGAGAACAGAATATATTGTGTGTATTTATTCAATATTGAAAATCTTTACCAAAGTTCTTTTAGTTCTTTCTTTTCATCTATGTGTAGTTTCAATAAAGAAAGCGTGTTCCTATATACATATCGTTCTTTTTACTCACATAAGTTCTTTTTTATAAAAGCATTTAAACAGTAATGGCCCTATATAGGTTTAGAAATAAAACCAGGAAACAATATAAGAATATACAAATATTATATAAAAAAACAATATAAGAT